AGCAGCTGCCTCGCTCGGTTCTGCCCCCAGGGTTCAGGTACCTGTCTCGGAAGACCCTGAAGCTACGCAAGCGGTTTGAATCTGTCGCTGTTTTGTTTCTTTCTTATTTCGTTATATACTTTTTTTTAAAATGGGAGATGTGATTTAACTGCAAGAAGGTTCTTTAAGCTAAACCTTTGAATCATTTTGGTATTCCTCTTACATTTTTATCTGTAATGGTGTCTTTTGAGCTTTTTTTAATGTAGAAACTAAATCTGAACCAGACTTCGTTTGATCTTCCATATCATAACTGTTGAGCCCACTTCCAAATGAGCAAACCATTTTTTAGGATATTCCAGTATTTGAGGTATTCAGCTCTGCAGACAATAGCTTGTGTGTTCAACATAAACAAACGGAAGATTCGCCCCGAGTCATTAAACCCCTTTCACTTCCCTCACAGCCAGCAAGCCATGAAGATGGTCCCATGGCGTTTTGCAAGCAGAAACATTCTTTTTCAAAAAAGGTGTCTGTGGCCAGCCTGGAACTGGAAGAACCTAGAGCTGTGGCTGGCATGGGGCTGAATCGGAGCAAGTAGGCCGTGGTGAGCGGCAGGGGATGTCTGTATTAATTTGCGCTCCTTATTCTGTTAATGAGGCCATGCCATTTCAGGTTTGGAACAGGCTTATCTGCCTACTCAGCAATAGCGCTGGGAGCGTCTACCTGTGAGAGACTAGAAATATCTCTAATCTCTTTCCATTAGTTTCAAAGTCCTGCTTTCCAGCAAAACTTTCTCAAAACTAGAAGCTGTTGCCCAGGGATGACAGACTAAAGGTAGCTTGAATTCCTTGGTGACAAAATATATTTCTAGCTCCATATCTGCAACAGATGAATCCTCTCATTCTAAGGTTTTCAGAATATGTTTCCCCCGTGTGGAAAAGTTCAGCCAGAACTTTGAAGGTTTGGCAAAGTTACAAGCAAGGAAGATCTTTGAATGGAACCAGTGTTCGGCAGCCGTAAGAGGTCGTGCTCCCGATCTCACTTATCACTGGTTATCCTGCCCTGGGGCCATCTGCCTTTCTTTTCCTCATGAAATAGGATTATTGGGGCGTTTTAATTGTGCAACATTAGTATAGTGTTTTCCAAGGTTTGGGAAGAAGCATTTCAAAATCAGCATGCGCTATTATTTCTTGTTATAGGGCAAGGGCAACAATATGGTTTTTTGTTGATCTTGTCTAGAAGAGAGAAATCTCTCATGTTGACTAGATCTTTTTTTTTTTATAATTTTTTTCAGTTTTTCTGTCTCTGTATGGGTGTTGCAGTATGCAATGCAGCTATTTCTGTCTGTATATCAGTTCCTTGCCGTTCAAAGCAAACTTCAGGGAAAAGATAATGCTTTAATGTGAATGAGGAAACACACAAGAGATGAAAGGCAATCACTCGTGTCTACGCTTATCCTGCAGTCTTCCTTCCCTTCCCCCTTTTTTTCTTTTACTACAGACAGAGTAGGTTTACTGATTTAGTTTTTCTCAGGGATGATGGGTGATGCTTTTTTGTTTTAGGTAGCACAGAGTTGCTCCTCAGACCCTCTGAATCTCAGGAACTGAGTGCAAGGCCAGGAAGTGTCTTACCAGATATGCTTGCTCCCTCAGGCGTCCAGAAGTGGCCCTCAAAGTCTTGGATATTTTAGTTTAGCTTTGTTTTGTGATGGAGACAGTGCTGAAGCCTCACTCAGATGAACAGCACCCTCATCAGGCTGAAGACTTCCACGGGAAGCATGAGCAGAACAGCAAGCTTCCAGGTATGTGCTGAGATAGGGATGGCTAACGTTATGTTTTGTTGCTGGCATGGTCTTCATTGCTCCATGTGCAGAATTACATGGACTGATGCTGAATTACGGTGGTCTCACCATAAAAAGGAAATGCTTTTTGTTCTAGGAAGTAAAGAAATTTAATTATCATTATTATACACCAATGGTACAATGACTATATGTTCTTTATATCCAGCTGGGGATTCAGGCCCCCAGAAGAGAACATGTGATGTTTATACTGCCGTTTGTCAACCAAGACAGTAACTGATTCTTTCTAGCACTTTTCAGGATCTTCCACACAAGCAGCTGTGCTGAGTTATTAAATATTCTTGGTGCCTCAGGTGGGTACTACTCTGGCCTAGAACCTGCAGCCTCTGTCACCCAGCTGTTAGTGCTCCGACAGCATCGAACTTCATCTGTGCAGGAACCTGAATTCAGCATTAAACAAATCAGAGTATTTGGCAGATTATAGAGCAATTATTGGGAGTTTCTCACAATTGTTCATATCTGCCTTAGGACTGTTAAACTGGTAGCACAAAACCTGAAACCTGATGTGGTAAGGAAAGCAGAAATCTGCTGGTTTTTAGTGACTTGAAAGATGTGCCTTCTGAGTCCTTGTTAGGAGTTTTGCTTTTTGTCAAATCCCTTTTTTTCATAAGCAAGCAACTTTACTGGAGAAAATTTTATATTCTAAGTTACTGTAAGTATACTTTTTAAGTAAAAACTGAAGCTCAGACAACTCTTTATCAGAAGTCAGACTAAAATGCAAGTATGGGTACAAAACTAAATTGCTTTATTTGGAGCAGATTAGATAGCAAACTAGTTCTAAGCCATGTTGTTCTAACCGAGCCGGAGAAGAACGGTGGCAGGCTTCAGTTCTCAAAAGTAGTTTTAGTATGTTAGATTTTATATATATTTTTTTAAAAATACAATTGAAAAAACTTATCACTTGAATTGCCAATTAATTTATTGGGCTTTTACCAGGAAAAACCAGTTCTTTAGGCAGACTTCAGATTTTCTTGTTGTATAAAGTGAGCTAATATAGAAGGTTGGGAGCGCATGATAATCCACACTTTGCTTCTAGCATATCAGTGATATTTTGAAAATAATTCTCATTGCTTGTGACTTAATGTCATCGTAAAACGTAGTACGTTTTTGTGTATACAATACAATTTATATATTTATGTTAAAACTTAATTTCTTATTTATTTTTACGATGAAAAATGCATACACTTTTTCTTCTATTTGATTTACTTGCCAAATACCACTTTTGCTTAGCTCTTTATAATAAAATATTCTTAACCTCTGCTTTACAGAAATTAGTCACTGTCTCTACAAACTAAATAGCTTCAAAGGAAGTGAATTTTTATGCAGGGTATAGAGAACACTTAAACTACAAGGATTTGTAAACCGAATGGAAAACTACATCACTTCTTAAAACAGTACAACATCCTTGTTATGCCATCTAGTGATCGCAGCACAGAGTGCAGCAATTTAAATGCAGAGCAAACTTTTTTTTGTGTTTACTATTTTAAGTTACAGTGTGAAAGATCACATTTTTGATCTTTAAAAATATAAATTAAAATTATTTTCCTATATTTTTGATTTGCATGTGATGGATGTGCTCCTGTGCTTACAGAAACAACTATTACAGTTTTGTCTTCTGTGAAATTGATGTTGCAAATCTGATAAAAACATTTATCAATGAGCTGTAATCTGATGTCTTACTTACCAGAAGGCTTTTGCACTCTCAGGAACTGCTAGGTGACAGATAAGTAAAATACCATGATTTTTTTAGTGCTGCAGTTTGTAAGGGAGTGCGATGAAGAACATCAATAATATCAAGTACACAGATGGCAATGTCATCAGGGATAGATACCTGTCTGATGTTTTTTCCTCTGTTTATGTGAATTCACAGTCCTATGAACTGAAGTATGATTTGGGATCTCAAATATAGAACAGATATTGAATCAAACAATAAAATTCCTAATTTATTTTTCCCATTCTTTTCACAGCAGGAGTAAAAGGAGATATTGAAAAACTTTATGAAGCAGTGCCACAGCTTGTAAATGTATTCAAAATTAAGGAAAAAATTGGAGAAGGCAAGTGTTTTGTTATCGATTGCTTAGACTTAGATTTCTTCTGATATTTCAAACTTAGAAGGTATAAATCTAAGATCCTAGTATATGCACTTTAAGTCAAATGCCTTTTTTATTTACTTGTTGGTCTCTGTAGGTATTCTGATACATTGCTGAGCAGTTAGGTATGTAATTAGGGACATTATCAAGATACTTTCTTGAAAATCTGGTATATTAAATCATTTCAAAACACCAGCTTTTGAGTTTCGACAAGTAAAAATTTTTGAGGCAGATTCAAGTAAGTCTTAACACCCCATTCTTTTTCTCTTTTATAAGAGAAATCTATATGCAGCTATGTTTTGACATATTTAACTACTGTTCATTAAGCTGGCTGTGTTTCCACTGAAACCCTGTGGGCAGAACTGGAGGAGGAGACTGCTTTATTTAAAAGAAAACCAAAAACACCACTTTTTTTTTTAAGACATAACTATCAAATTCTAGAACACTTGTGTACACCTTGCCTTCAAAAAATACTTCTGCAGATTCCTTCCATAAATGTTAGCTATGACTTTAAATAGCTTCTTAGGTACTTCTGAGTGGGGGATTTCAGCACTTTTTGGAACTTAACCCGTTTGATCTCTGAAATGCTATATGACTCTTCACACTTCCAGACAAATGTTGATTAGAAGCTGGATTATTTAACAGCTGTTTTGTGATGGAATACCTGTGATGGTGGGCTATGTGGCTAAAATCTTTTTTAGAAGAAAAAACCCACAACAAACTCCCCCAAAAAGCTCAGCTCCATTTACCATAGCAGTACGGAATTTCAAAACCAAACCAAAAAGAGGTTCTGCCTATCGTAAAAATAGACAGTATAAAGTAAACAAAATCTCTGGTTATGAACAGTGCTCTGATCTTGCTCTTGGGAGCAAACAATGCTTTTAAAAAATGCCACTTGCAGTTTTGCAGCATTATGAGAAAACAAGCTTCAATTTAAAGATTCCACTCTGGAGACTTGTTCATTTTAGGAGTTCTCACCACCAAAAATAATGTCTTAGGTAAACTTGGTAACCCTTGTTGTTATAATCAGTTCTACAGAACATATGGGACCCCAGGTCTTTTATGACTGCAAGAAGTGTTGAGTTTTTCTGACAGTTTGGTGTATGTCTATGCTTACAGGCTGTTGAACTAGCACAATGCAAACACAATACTTAAAATGTAGGAAAAAGTGATTTGTACAGTTTATTCACAGAAATGAGTGCTTTAACTTGTATGTTCAGATATCTAAGATCATTAGGATAAATTAACTTCCTAAGAGGTATATTAGGATATATATTTCTACCATGTTCTGCCTAAGCGGAACAAACAAATACCACATTCTGCCTAAGTGGAACAAACAAATTTACTCTGGGCAAACAAATGCCAAGGTTACACATCATGTGAGACGTCTTACTTCATAGCTAAGGCAACAGAATTAAGAAAAATGTAGCAATTCAGAAGCTTTGAATAGTAAAGGCAGTGCTTTCTGGATTAGCATTATATAGCCCGCTTACATTGTAGGGAGAGAAGAGTTAGATGTCAGATGAAAGTAAGCTACCTAAACAAGAAAGCAAATCAAAGATAGAAAATTTACATTCAAAGAGCTCCGTATCCCAGGCAAGTTAGACAGTGTTACATTTGCATTTTTACTGACAAAAAAGCTTGTATACAAGATCACTGAATTCAGTAGTAGAAAAAAGGAACCGCATTTTTCTTTTCTAGAATCTGCTTTTGATGTAGTATCAGATATACTGCAGGACTGTGAACAGTTAGATCACTTCTGTAAAAATCTGAACTGACCTAATTAAAGATGCTGAAGAGAGTATTTTTCTCCCTTCTTTACAGGTACTTTTAGTTCTGTTTACTTGGCCACAGCACAACTGCAAACAGGATACGAGGAAAAAATGGCTCTGAAACACTTGGTTCCAACCAGTCACCCTCTGCGAATTGCGGCTGAACTTCAATGCCTCACAGTAGCAGGGTACATAAACAAAAAAAAATATGTTTGTCATGCCTAAACTGCTGAACATTGTCTCATTGTTCTGTGTTTATTTATTTTAAGATTTGAAATTTTGCTTGCTTTTAATCGCAGAACTGTATATTTTTATCAAGAGCAAATAAGAACTGGAATGTCTCACCTGTAACGTATGCCTTTTTCTGCTAGTCCCAGTTTGCGGATGGTGCCATATTTTCCATCTGAGTTCCAGGAAGTATCTCTGTGATAACTAAGATGGCAGTTCTGAAATGCTTGGAAAACTAATCTCTTAATCAGAAAATGTGGTTTTAATAATGAATACTTGTTGACAGAGTGTGCTGAACAGCAACTTCTTAAAGTAGTTGGTATTACGAAGGTTAGGTCCTATATTTAATTACAGCAGTAACTATAAACAATGGCCCCACAAATATTCCATGGAGCCCTCATTGCAAATTGCAGACTCAGATGGCACATAGCAATGAGAGGCGACGGCATGACTACTGACTGCTCATAAGATTGCTGTCAAAATATGAGACAGATTATAAAGGAAAGCCTGACTGAAGTTCTTAGGAAATAAAAACAAACATCCATCTTCTGGTCTTTATTCAGTGACATCACTTTTCTTCTAGAGGACAAGATAACGTTATGGGAGTTAAATACTGCTTTAGGAAAAATGATCATGTGGTTATTGTTATGCCGTATCTGGAACATGAATCCTTCTTGGTGAGTCCCAGACTTTTTCTGTGTAGTAAAACTTCTTAACTAAAAGCACTTGCATAATTAAAGTATCTAAATAATATTTCAGGATATTTTGAACTCTCTTTCATTTGAAGAAGTGAGGCAATACATGTTCAATCTGTTTAAAGCGTTGAGGCGCATTCATCACTTCGGTATTGTTCATCGTGACGTCAAGCCAAGTAACTTCCTTTACAACAGGCAGCTAAAAGAGTAAGTCTGTCCAGATAACTATATTGTGACCTCATTTGGGGATGTGTGCCTTGGCAGAACAGAGTCAATTAGGCTTTTGTTGTTGGTTTTTTTCCCTTCTAGCTGCATAACATATGCTTAAGTAATAAAGTTAAAAAAGATTATTTTTTTATTTATAAAAATCTCTTTCTGTGTTTAGGGATTTGAGGAGAGAAGGATTTTTTTCATTCTTAGTATAATATCTGCCTCACAGTGTGACAAGTACCTGAAAACGTGAAGCTTTTACTGTTAAGTGAAAGTACTACATTTCTGATAAGAATGAGAAGAGCAGAATCAGTTGTTTGGGTTTTTTTAATATGAAAACTAATAGCCATTTGTGGTGCATAGAATGCTACTTGTAAGTTTTTACTCACAGATAGAGTAAAACTGATACAGATAAGATAGCTGGTTTGGAGTTGTCTTCACCTTTCCTTAAACTAATATCTGTAACTGTAAAGTTAGGGGGCGTTGCCTGATAGTTGCAATGTTCAAATACTGTAAAAAAACCCAAGGCACTGCTTTTTTTTGTGAAGAGCTGAAATAAGTAGAACTTGAGAAATACTGAGTTGTTTTGTTTTTTTTTTAATCTACTGAAATTAATATGAACTGTTGTTTTGCTCTTCTAGCCCTTCTTTTGAGCCTTAATCTCTACTTTGGTTGTGGAGGCTGTGGAGTTGAGTTTGTCTGAGACTTAGAGACAGCTGGATTGTCTCTGTATGGGTTGTAGCAAAACTTTCTTTTAAAATCAAATCTGAAGTGTGAGCTAATGTAGCCTTACCTGTTTGAAGTCTGAAGTAAATTCCAGTAGTATTGCTGGAAGTCCAGCAAAACTCCCAGCACTGTTAGTCTTCAAGAGTCAAGTGACTTGACTGTGGGATTAGAAAAAAAACCAGAAAGGAGCTGCTGGGAATAAATTTTTTTAACACCACCAGAGAAAGTATGAACTTGAGAAGATTTTCGGACAAGAAACAATGAAGTAAGACTGGTAAAAGAGTAAAAATATTGAGGGGATAGGTAAGGTAGTACAAGAGGAGGAGGAGAAAAATATGACTGTGATGCTGACAGTACAGAGAACCAACACACTGAGTAAAATGTGAGAGAAAGATAAGCAAACAATTAATTAATAGTAAATTGAACTGCTTGATGGGTACTTTGTGACTCGATTCTAAATTTGTGTCTTTCAGGTATGCCTTGGTAGATTTTGGCTTGGCGCAAGGAACCCCTGACACAAAAATTGAACTTCTCAGAGCTGCCCATTCTGAAGACCAGCAGGGAAGTTGCTCACAAAAAAATCCCACCATAGCCTTGGGAAACGGGATTTCTGTCAGTGTCACAGCCCCTAAGCAGATAGTTCAACAGTCAGCCTCAAAAGCAGCTGATAAAAGGTCCAGCTCACTTTCAAAAATACAGATTAAACAAGGAAGAGGAGGAAAGGTTCTCACTTTTTTCATTAATATCGTTGTATCTTCCATGTATTATTTCATCCAGCAGGGGGCCATATAACACCTGAACAAAAGCAGGGTACGCCAGTCTTGCTGGATATGAATGAGATGCACAAACTCAAGTTTTAATATCCGAGTGGCTAGTTTTACCTAACCCTGTTGGCATAATTCATTATCTGTTAGATATAATACAGTGCTGAAGGCTGTTTAAAACCGGAGCATGGGGTACTATATAGACAGCCTTAACTCTTTCTCTTGAGTGGCGTGTACTGTGGAACTCCTCCCCAAGCCAATAATTACTCATCTGTGTTCAGTTACTTAGTTGCATAACAAATGCTGTGCAGATGACATTCGGATTATCTTGGGGCAATTCTGAGGTGTGCTTTGTTTTGTAGGCATGTTTGCTGTTCTGTCTAGACCATGTTTTCTTCATCCACAGTAAACTGATGCCTGAAACTGGCTTACCATGCAGCTGTTCTTGTTTTATGTCACTTCACATTTATTTTTCTGAACTGTCAGTATCCAGCTGACTGTGTGTTAGATAGGATCCTTATTGTCCTTTTTATTGGTATTGTAGGAGGATTCTGTGCACCATTCTGTCCAGCGATCTGTCTTTGGAGAGAGGAATTTCAATGTCTATAGTTCCACATACCAGGAGAATTCAAGTACAAAAGTAAGAAGTATGACTCATCAGTAAGAGCAATCTGTTACATATTTGAAAAATTATAGAACTGCTTGTTCTTTAAGACTGGACATGACCCCAGGATGCTGTGGAACTATAAGTTTTTGAGCAGATTATTAACTGTGTCTTTGCTGAAAGGCTCAAAAATTTTTTATTTCTGCTTCAGTCCTTTTTGAAACTCTTAAAGAAGTAGTTAGGTAACTGTCTCCCTAGCTGATCTTGTTTATATGTTAATTAATCTTCTTCTTTCTACCTGTGTATGTGTGTAGTACACTTAACTTGTGAAACTTGATTTTTTAATTTTTATTTTGTAGTTGAAACTGGAGAAAAAACTCATACTAAATATTTGTCTGTACATTTTGTAATTACTATTTAATTATGACAAGGGGGAAACCCCAACTAAATAAGAGGGTTTAGCCAGCAGTGAACGTCTTACCATAAAGTTAGAATTAGTGCCTATGTGTTGCTGTGGCATTTCACATACCTTTTTTTAAATTCTCATGTTGAACCAAAAGAATTCTTAAAACTTTATACTAACTTGAAAAATACTTGCCTTATAGCTTCAGAATATCTAATGTATATATATTTTTAGTAAACATTGAAAAATGTTTTCCAAAGGGGAGAAAACCAGGATATTTAGAAAGCTCCAGTGTCTGTTTTATAGCTGCTGTGATATTGTTAAAAAGGTTTGCTGTCTTCTGTTCTAAAAGTGCAGTTTCTTGCTCATGAGCACCTGCTCAGTCTTAGTATTGTAGGAACTGGCCTATCTAGATATGAAGGCTCCTTAAATATGTCACCTTCTCTAAAATATCTACATTCCAGCTCATAAAACCATCAAAGATGACAGATGTTTCATCTAGGAAGTTAGTAACAAAGAAGAAGATAATTTCTACCAAAACAGTGAGCAATGGAGCAGCCAGGAAAGCTGCCAGTGGTTGTCCCTCAAACCTGACCTGTGACTGTTTTGCAACGGATAGAGTTTGCAGTGTTTGCCTTTCAAGGTAATTTGCTTTGATAATGTTGTAAAATTGTCTGCTATGCTGTCGGGCAAGGTCAGAAACTTAGATTTACTAGACAGCTGGTTTAGTAGCTGAAAGATAGCATTTGATCTGTGCAACCCATAAAATACTGAGTATGCTCTTTTTAAACAAGAGTAGTTCGTGCAGCTGATGGAATGATGGGTTCACTGCTGTCTGGAGCAAGAAAGAGTCATTGTTAATGTTTTTTTTTTGCTGTATTTAATTATCTGTCTATATGTGTTGCAGAAAATCACTTGAGTTAATTACAAAACTTAGAGAAGACAATACATTAATCTGTCATTAGTAGTTATCTAGTAGGCCTGAATCATGCCATGGTTTGGATTCTGGAAATCTTGAAATGTAGAATAAAAAGGAGACACATTTCTGTTGTATTTGTTAATTTAAAAAATAATGTTTACATTTTAATAATGGACAGGTTAGACAATTTTAATAATTGAATTCAGCTCCATCCCTCTGCAGTTAGTTTTGATTATACTTTTTTTCCCCACACACATTTCTAAAGTAAGAAACATGAGGAATTTGCCAGACTCCGTATAGGGCACACAAGAGAGCTCTGGAAAGTTGTTTGTGGTTGTTTTTTTTTTTTCTAAAAAATAATTATAATCTCACACCTTTCAATTAATTTAATGAAAAGTAAATTCTTGTCAGCGCAGAGAGAAATAGTGGACTTTAGTTTGCTGGGGAGTAATAGAAAGCCAGCATATCCACATTCAATAAGCTAGTGCATTTTTTGCCTTTGGTTAATTAGTCTCGACTTTAAAATTTTCCATGAAAACAAGCCTTTAGCAAAAATGATGCTACTGTTGAATGAAACTAAAAAAGGTCACTGTGAATGAAGTATGCCATAAGTATTTCTGTGGTGTTACCTTATGCTAAACGTAATAAAAATATAATATGACAAGTAATGTAATAAGACTATTAGGCAACAATTTCGTGCTAGATAAGATGCTTCAAACTTTTATAAAACTTGAATAAGAGAGGCTACTTACACATCTTACATAAGTATATTCTAAAAATAATATTAAGCATTATTCTAATTAGAACTTATTTATTAACTTCTAAATATGTTTGTCTCTTCTTACAAGGTGTCAGCAAGTTGCTCCCAGGGCAGGAACACCTGGATTCAGAGCACCGGAAGTGTTAACCAAGTGCCCCACTCAGACCACAGGTACTGCACAACAGACTGGAACTAAGGCTTTTTAACCTTTTGATCCTTCTCATTTATGCCTATTAAGTTTTCTTTTTTTATGGAAGAGGATTTGTTTACATGTGGAATTCATTTTATTGTCACTTCTAACACTTAGCGAGCAATTCCTGATTTTAATTAAAAGTTTATCATTCAGAGTAAGAAACAAGTTAGGAATATTTTTTCTGTGTTTGAAATGTGAATATGTCTTTATTCATCTGAGGGGGAGTGCCATGTGCAGGAGTTGAGTACAAGATGTTTTAAAAGAAAACAAAGCTGTAGCTTTTATCAAGTTTCATGGCTTATTAGCTTATTTATTCAAGTAAAATCTTGCTTAAATCTTAGGGAGAGGACATACTTTAGACTTTTCTACACAAATTGTCACACATATAGTTTGCTGTCTTAACAGGCTTAGTTAATGGTATAATTACAAATGTGTTTCAGAAAGCATTGGTTAATACTTGTGATCAGCTTTTTCTTTTTTGCTAATGCTTTAAATAGCTGGTCTACAAATACTGCAATTTTTTCTTACTAAATTTTTAATTTCTAAGGGTTAAAAACTGTCAAGTTACAAAGTCTGAGTAAATATCAGGGCAGAGCAGAGGGATGATTAATGCATTAGGTGATGCAAGTAGCATGGGAGAGGTTGTGCCTACCTGGAGAATGGAGGATCAATAAAAGCAGTTACCCGTTAAACATTTGGTGTGAGACCAGGAATTCTGACTTATGAAAAAGGGGGATAAATAAAAATACCCTCAAAAAGTGGATTTAAAATAACAGATTTTAGCCACTTTTATTGCTGAATACCTCTTGAAAAAATTGTTGATTTTCATACTTAAAGTGTGTGTATATACTGAGAATAGACTTAACGTTAGATCTGATCAGTTTATGCTTAGCTAGGTTAATGTTGTTTGAAACATCTGCGCTGTGGATATGACTGGGATTTCAAGAGGTATGACAGCCTGTTTGCAGTTACTGTGCCTGTGCTGTAACAGCCAGCTTTACAGGCTAGAATACATCCAGAAATCCAGGACAAGTTTAGACAATCTCAATCTGTCTAGACAGAATTTAGGCAGAAAGAAGACATACCTAGGAAATCTTGAACACATGCTGGTGTTAAATATGCTTTCAGACGTTTTGTGTTCTCTAGGGGAACAGAGGGCAGGATTACAGAAAATACGGGTAAATCTGGAAACCCTTGGGTGTGGCACCAGACAGCCCTAAAAGTACTGAGTCAGTGGTGCTGAGCTCCCGTAGTATGTCAACAAAGGCCTTAATTAGGACTGGGTAGACTAATACTAATATTTATGACATTATGTTGTATTTGAACTAACAGATCTTCTTATCCACTTCCATCTGGGACTGCTGTAGTCACCTCCTGGTGTTCCTGCCAATCTTACTACTAGTTCTGGTCTCTATGCTGAGACCAAGTTACCAGCTGGATCCAGCTGACTCTATCCAGAGCTACCTTAGTGCAGCTGACCCGGGTTCGCAGCACAGGAAACAGCACCTAAACTCCCAAGTTGACTTTATGCAGGTCCAGGGACACTTCAGCTTGGTTTGTCCCTCTGCTCCCCTTTCCTTGGCCTGCCACATGAGTTGGATGGCACTAAACAAGAGCACAGAGAGGAATCATCATGCTGATGTCATTGCACAGGATCTTTCAGTCTGCTGCTCATCACTGTTCTACCAGAATTGTAGGGCTGGGGTTTGCTAGCTGTTCAGATATATAATGTTTATTAATTTCAGCAAGAGTTAAGTAATTAAACTTCTTTAAAGGTCTTGACCGTGATGACTCCAGCTTTCCCAACCACATACTCGGGGTGATGCATAGCACCTCAAACAGATACTACGATCTTTTCAACAGTGATACAATAATACTAAAACTTTTTTTACAGGAACTATGAAGAAGATACAATTTTTTTTCCACTGTTAACTGTGACAAATGATTAACTTGGATTTTTATTTTTTTAATAAAAGACTTAAAATCTGGTTATACAACTGAAGTCAACTTAATACTTTCTTTTCCAAAGTCCTCTGCTAAAATGTCCAGATTTATTACTCCCTATTTTACTCCTTATTTTTTAAGAGAAGTAAAATAACTATGACTTTATTTCCCAACTGTTAATTCTTCTCTTTAGAGTTTGAGAATCCTTCAAAGTCTCCCATTTACTTCTCTTGCCATCTCTGAAAATGTGCACCTTAGCGAGCCAAAAAATTATGGCAGACAGGTATTCTCATAACATTCAGTATTAAATTTTCCATCATGCTTTGGCATTTGCCCCCAGAGTACTCTCTGTACTCTTCTTAACACAATGAAAGTGATGAATAACTTCTGACTATTACAGTTCTTAAACTGGCTATCTTCTCAAGTGATTTCGTATTAGAGATGAGCAAAGTTCATTGTAAGATGGATTCTTCAGTACTGCCTAACTGTGGCAGCCTCAGTCCCTTAAAAATTCAGATTTGCATTCATTTATAAATTATTTTTTATTTATGCATTACCCTTATATAAGCTTCTTTTTCATATGAAGCAAATTTAAAGAAGTATCAAAACTAGCGAGTTTTTTGCCCCCTCTCATCTCCCTGGATAAAGCAACCTCAAACATTGTTTTGGAACATTTTAAGTTTAGCAAGTTAATGGAATTACTCATATGAAAAAATCTATGGAAAAGCTTAAATACTCCCTCGGCATCAAAGCAGGAAATTATTCTTCAATCTAATTATAGTAATTTCCACTGTTTGCTGAAGTGTTATCTCTGTGACCAAAGTCATTAAGTACTTCAGAACATAACTTCTGATAGAAACTTTTCAGGTCATAATCCCCTTTTAAAGAAGGTTGTGATTTTGTTTGTGATAAAATCTTGAGCTTAGTTATTACTGAGTTTCCTTTCAATTCCAGCAATTGACATGTGGTCTGCAGGAATCATATTCCTTTCGCTGCTCAGTGGACGGTATCCATTTTACAAAGCAAGTGATGATTTAACTGCTTTGGCACAAATCATGACAGTTCGTGGATCCAGAGAAACCATTCAGGCTGCTAAAACTTTTGGTATGCAAACCTTAATTATGGGGAAAAGGGGAAAATGTATGCTTGGTCTGCTATTTACCACAGTGACTTACAATCTATTATTTTTTTGTATGTATGTACATATATATATATATACACTTTTTGGTTTGGGGGTTGTTTTAAAGGTAAACCTCACTTTTTGCCTGTAAAACTAAAAGGTCAATATATACAGAGTTTTAAGAACGTTTTGTATTTTCCTGTCTTTTGTCGTTTGTGTATGGGGTACTTCATGCCATAGGTTTCCCAGCCTGTTTACTGCCTTTGACTAAGTCAGGGCCACTTGAGGTGAAACATGCCAACTAAATGTTTTCTATTAGCATTTGGTTAGAATTCTTGAGGCAATGTTTCTATTCCTGCAAAATTTGCCCTGGAGGCCTAAGTCAATATGACTTAATATTTAGATGATGTAAACTTTACTTTTTTTCCTCCCCTCAAGAAGGACTAGTTAAAAGAAACAAACAACAAAAACCAACAGCTGGCCTGTTTAAACTAACAAAACCACCACCACCAAACACAAAAAAACCCATTCCCTTAATTGTTTGGAGGCCAAATGCTGCAGCACTTGCTACCTGGAAGCATAACTGACAGCATTGATTTTCATTCTCCAGGCAGAGGTGTGAAAGTGAGAGTATCTAATTGTCTTGAGTTCTGTCAAAACGAGAGCAAAATGCAAACAAGAAGGCGTGTGGGGCAAATGACAGCCTGTCACTATATAACTTCACAAACAAACCCGAAGAGCTTTGTTCTGAGTAGAACTGGGGCTGTTCTCCTCCTGACTTGCAGGGCCTGTTGCTGTAAGACACGTCTGATTTGGAGGAGTGGGGAGGCTGGATTTTGTTTGGGGCTTCTTTGATAGTTTTGGTGGGTTTTTGGTGGTTGTTTTTTTTAACGTTGGTTACACTTTAAGACATGAAGTTTCTCTGAAACAAACTTAGAATTTACTGTTGCATAGAAATTATAATAAAATGTCACTTACAGAATTTTTTTTTCCCCTAGGTAAATCAGTTCTGTGTACCCAAGTTGTCCCAGCACAAAACTTAAGAACCCTCTGTGAGAAGTTGAGAGGAACAAATAGCAGCCGTAAGAGATCCCAGGGTGAAGTGCCCGGCAAGTTTGCAAATGACTCAGCTTTGCCACTTGCAGGAGACAAACTGTGTGCTCCTGAGACACTCGAAGAACAAATTCAACACATAAAGAGCTTTCAGGAAGGTGATGGTGCTTTGGAAATGAAGGGAACAGACATGAAAGGATGGGATCAGGTTCCTGATGAAGCATATGACCTACTTGATAAGCTACTAGACTTAAACCCTGCAACAAGAATAACTGCAAAAGAGGCTTTGCTGCATCCTTTTTTTAATGACATGAAACTCTGAGAATATACTGTACTTTATCACTGTTTTCTTATGTTTTATGTGGAAATGAGATTCTGAGGTAGTTTTACCTTGTTGCCCTCAACATTTATGCTCATTGAAATACCGTCACACTGCACGGAACTACTGAAATTTTATCTGATACAATTGGACTGCAAATGTCAGTTTATTTTAAGAAATACTTGCAGATGTGAAAGTTACATGAACATCACTAACGTGGTCTTACCCTAAGACACTTCTGAGGGGTTATTGCGGTGCGTACCTGTTCTCTGAGGAAGTTAACTTTGTTCAAAAACTACAAAGAAAAAGAGTTTCACAAGCTCTCTGCTTAATTTTCAAGATATTCCCTTAACATTTGCAAATTTGCCTTAAGGTATGACTTAAATAAGAAAGTGCTTGAGAAACTTTTTTCCATACTTGCATTTCACTGCTTTGTTCCCAGTTATCACATGGTGGACTGCAAATGGAACAAAATGTGTTAATTTTGTTCAGACTGTTTTCAGAGAACAGTATTACTTTGGGAGTGTTGCTAGAGGAGGGTCCAGGTGCTAGAGGTTACACCATCAAAAGAAAGGCATAACTGTTTTAAAAGTACATTTTTGTTTCTATCTGATCTTTTCTACTCAGGCAATAGTAATAAAAGCAGTTACGCATTTTGTATGGCCTGTGTTTCCTCAGTGCCATGGGTAACTGTCAATAGTCAATAACTACTTCCTTCAGAATGTCTCGTGTGACATGCATAGATTTGATTTGTGTTACGGAAACTCATTATTTTTAAAGAATATCTGTTAAATAAGGTTTCTTTTTATAACTTCAGAAAATTGTCTAGAGGTGCTTCAATAAAAATTGGTCAGGTGAGGTTTTCCTGTGGGATGTTTCTGTTCAGGAAGAATTGTTCCCTGCATAAATTCCTCAATGATGGAAAACAATTTCTGGACAGCTCTAGTGCATATGACTGTCACAGTGGAAGTATCTTAATTATCAAGGGAGCCTTACTGCAGAGCTAGAAGCTAGCTATTGCCTGGCCCCAAGCAGGGGGCCCTGTACATTCAACGTGCAAAGTAAGTTACATCAGCAAAAGTTACTTTAAAACCCTTGGAAATTCTGAAGAGTGAAAAAGACTGTCTTTCCGTGCACATTTCTCGAAATGCTAATGGAGTTGTTGCTGTAAGAGGTTACAAGCCATTCTGAGAAACAATTACTGCTTTGGTAACTCTTTTATAAGCCTTCTCAAATGAGCTGGTGGTTATGATAGTGCAAAGGTCCTGACCAGGGCTGAGGATGAAGAGACATTATTTCAATATATTCAAAATCTTAATACATAGAAAGTGATGGAAATGTTGTTCTGTTCCTGGCATCAGCTCTTAGTGAAAAATATTTGCAGATGTCAGAATATTGATTGCAGAAAATCTTGAAACTCACAGGACCCTGGGGCCCAGGTCTTAGTAATTTTTGCTGTTTATGTAATTTCAACACAGCACGTCACTGAGGAATTATTTATCTAAAGGAACTGTGGCCAAATTTGGCAAGCAATGCTGTCTGCCAGTTTCTGCAGATGTATTGTTTCCTCCTACGTTCACTCATGCTGTCTATGGTCTTATGAGAGCACTAGCTGACAACAAGCAAAAATATGTCAATTATCTATTGTGAACTTTCTAAACAACTCTGGTTTTTTTAAGCTTTCCTGCCAACAACAGCACTGAGCAGCTTCTTGCATCAGGCACTACAACAATTAAACAATGCATAAGTTTAATAGCCAAAAAATGGAAAAATCATTGCTAGAGGGCTTTATCAAACCATTAAGGGTAAGTAAAATTCTGTAAGGAACAATTCAAAGCTTAGTATATTTCATTACAAGCTAGAAGAACCCATTGTTATTCCTTCTTCAAGTCAGCTATTTATTTAAAAGCTGGAGAGGTTTCTTTGAGGGAAGGATGACTTTAAAAGAAAAACGTGTTTGAACAAACATACACTTACAGGGTGTTTCTTGTAGCTCTCTACAAAAGAGTGAGGGCCATAAGTAACATGTTAAATGCAACGGGCAGTCTCTCTCTCTCTCAGATTAAGGAAAACAGCAAGAAAACACTAGAGGTGAACAGTGGTTGCCACCGAGTTTTCTGCTTCTCTCTCCTGTGGTTCTAACAATCTCTCAAAGCCATACATACCACGATGTCTTTAAAGTTTAATTACATGATTTCACATGTTTATAAACTGAATGTGAATCTCCTATCATGACATCTGTAATTAGAAGAAACTGCACAGAAATGACATTTCTGCAGCACATGTTCAGTGGTCATGAGGCCACAGCTGGATTACTGTTAAATTCTGGACGCCATGCTATGACAAGGATATTAGTAAATTGGAAAGAAATCAGGAACGGCAGCAGAAAGCAGCATGAACTTGGAAAGATGAAGAGAGATTGATACCTAGAATCCTGAGAACACAATGCTGGGAGCAAGTCTAAATACATCTGTGTATCTAGCATAAGGAAGACTGGCTTATTCTCAGTACTAAGCCAGGCTAGGCAAGGAAATTGTGGCATGTGGTAAGCTTGTGATATTTTTCCTAGTTGTAAGTGATAATTAGGAAACAGGAGATCATCTTACTAAAAGTGCCTGGGGAAACACCTGCGAGACACTGACAAAGTTCTTCTGGGTAATACTGATAATTTTGATAAATGAAATTCTAAATCCGATTGAGTTTGTAGACCTATTACTTTTGAGAATGGACCCAAATAAGTTTTTATTTAAAGCAAAATACTATATGGATAAAAAACTATTCTGGCTGGGAATACAGGCAGGTAATAGAACAGCATTTTAAATGAAATTAAGTATTAATGGCTTCATGAATTCCAATTCTGTAATGAAACTATATTTCCATTGGTAGGCTTATAGTGAGGACAATTCCCCGAGACATTACTCAAGCAATGTTCTTACTGCAGCGTAGTTGTAATTTTTTTTAATTATTTTTTTAAGCACGGTGAATTTTTCTACTAATGCAGCCACAGCATGTTCACTTCAAATTCCTCTTGTACCTTTTCCAGAAAACAGAACATGTACCAGGTCAGGGGCAGCACATATGTGGCTCATACTCCTTTCTGCTGCTGCGTTCCTGACTGGCCAGTTCAAGGGATAGTAAATATTTAAATTGGCAGCCTGCACACAGTGTGTGGAAATTGGATAGTTCTTTTGATGATATGCTTACAAAGGCCCGCACATAGAGTTTTGTTACTGTGGTAACAAAAAAATCTGGTATCACTGAGGTGAGGGTTCAGTAAATTGGGTATTTTTTATCAGGAAGGTACAGCATAACCCAGATAACCAAGGTTTTAAATGTGCCTAACGTATACTTAATTCTGCCTCTTTATGACTCAGCTTTTTTAACTTACATGTCCTTTGACTCTGCAAGAATAATATCCCTATACAGTGCTTTACTGTATCATGTTAAAAACTAACCACTATAAGCATTCCTGAATATCCCCAGAGTACTTTTTATTCCATTTCTGGAAAGATTTAAATCCTCCTCGTGGGGATATGGCAGGGAAGAGGGTGGTTTTGTTGCGTGTTATTTTCTTTCTTGCACAAAGTTCTTCCATGGTTTTCAGAAAAATCAGATTTTAATCTAAGCCCTAATTATACCTTTGCTTAAAAATACTGCTGCTAAGAAGTGCTTTACCTACGATATACATGTAATCCATGTATTTTATAGGGCATAAACAAACTACTTGTAACAAACAATGCATAATTAGTTTTACTTCTTAATACGAAGGATAGGGCTGTAGTCTAACAATTAGAATATTTAAAGAAAATTAACTTTTTATGATTAAAGATCATATAATTAGTTTTTTTGGTCATGTCTATCAGAAGGCAGCTTGTTGAGAAAAATCTCCGTTCTTTCCATTCCTATTTCCTCTCACCACCTCTCCCAAAAAATTCTGCCAGAGGATCAGATTCCTGCACTCTGTGTTGCTGTTAGGTATTTGTCTAATAACTCTTTCGTTGCTTTGAATGTTACTGTGCATTATGTGCAAACCGACACTTATTTCCCTTTCTAAGTGTCCTATGAGACCTGCTTCTGTTCTGCTGTCCATTTGCTTGTCTCAGAGATCTCTGCCCCTCACTTGGACTTTGCAGTGTTGGCAAGAAACTGCAGAGTTCTCTGTAGCCTTTAATTTTGCTTGTATGTAATCTTGTCTTATCTGATCCAGGGATACTAATTTCAAATGAAAGAGGAAGTCTAACTAATGCTGAAATTTCTGCGCATCTACACACCTGTCTGTGTTACACAGGGGCAAAGTGCTGAAATGAGGCGGTTACACTGAACTCGGAGGACACAGGATTTGTCAGCCAGCCTTTTTCTTGCTTCTAGAAACAACCCAACATTGCTTTCCTTCACTGGTTTCATACCTGGCTATAAAATTTGCTTCAAAACTGCTTTCAAAACTCCTCAAAAAACAATTCTGCCGTGTGATTGCCAGCCCCCTGCCACAGGATGCCCTAGCTACCCATGGGGCTGCTTCCACATCCCAGAAGTGAGGGGACTACAACAGCTGACTCACAGCTGTCTTGTACACGAGGCGTACAAGACTCAGGTCAGGGATCTTTTTGTTCCTGTAGTACTTTTTTTTAAAATAGATTGAACTAGGGTAGTTTACAATGGACAATTCACCACAGCACAGAATTGTCCTGCACACAGCTTCTAGCCAAGCAGTTACTGCCTGCTGGGATCCTTCTTATGCGAGATGTGGCATATGTTTTCCATTGGGGTCCTGCTTGCAACTAGCTCAGTAACTTGAGTCAATTCACTACAGTTGCTTCAGGAAAAAACAGTATATAGTTTGAATTTATAGGTATTTACCCGAGTTATCTTTGTAAAAATCACAGCATTCTGGAATATTCACTTACAGACAGCCTGTTCTTGGAGGGAAAAGGGAATTAAAGCTACCTCTTGATTGCTATGCCTTTCATTTGCTAAAAATCAATGATTCGCTTAATGTGATGCAT